GATGAAGCCCCCCACCCGGTCACCAAGCTAGTGTGAAGGAGAGAGGGAGGAGCCTCCCTGTCCCTCACATGCTCATCACTAGTAAGGCATCGAGATTTATGTCGTCAGTGGGTTTTCTTTTTTTTTATTGGACAGCTTGGACCAATGCTGCTTTTCCATGCACAGAGCTCAAGTATCAAACATGGAGTAGAGGCTGTGACAGCTCTTGCCTAACTAGTTAGGTTACACAAGCAGCCGGATGCAGCGCTGCCTGTAATTAACAAGCAGCACTCCGTCCATGACAGGTTACACAGCGGGGAGACTTTCCCTGCTCTATAACCTGTTACAAGCCGGTCCGAATGGAGAAAAAGCTGTCAGCTTCAGACTTGAAGCTGACAGCTTTCCCCTCCATAATACTAGGTGAGACTCTGCCTCACCTGCCTCACCCTGACCGCACATCTCTGCCAGGCAGGGGGCACCTATTAAGAGCTTATTGAAAATACTCATAAAAAAATAATTTTGTATTGGTTGTCATCAGTTACAGTTCATATTTCAGTTGCATATTTTTTGCAAAATCTTATCAGACGTGACTCGTTTTTTAATCCTATTGAACATTCGTGGTTGTTGCTGCTTCTATATGTACTTTGTATGCTTATTGAATAAGATATTGTATGAAACTATAAACTAATGTATAACTGAGGACTATTCAGAGGAGTCATGTGATGTTATGCACCATTAACATTTTCTTGTGGCTCCCTCCAGCAGCAGATCGCATGAGTCTCTGGGAGAATTTTGCAAGACTCATGCAATCTCATGCTATCACACGGGTGTGCATGGGTCATCACATTCATTTAGAGTGGGGTTTTGTAGTTCAAAACTGAATTTTTAACTCCTTACCAAGTCCTTTCTGGGGAATGGCTGACTGGAATTCCATGAGATAGGTCAGGAATGGCTTTTCCGCTGTTATTTCATAATATCGGATGTTTCCGTCTCCCTAACATAGTAGAAATAAATTAAGAAATCCAAAACAATTCAAAAGTACAGCAAATAATTAGGGATAAGTATTTCGTTTATATGTCTCAAAATTATTCATTAAAAAAAAATTTCATGATTTTAAATTAAAATGTTGAATGATCATAAAACAAAAACTTTTTTTGGGTAAGAACAATTTATCTATCATCCATCTATCTATCTATCCATCTATCTATCTATCTATCTATCTATCTATCTATCTATCTATCTATCTATCTATCTATCTAGATAGATACAGTATATATACTGTACATCTAAATGTGATTAAAGAAGAAGTCTCATCTGTCAAAGTCTCACTGACTTTGACATCTCACTCCTCTTCATTCCCAACCACACTCTGCAAAGGAGACAGACTCTGGAAAGTGCAGGGGCAGTGAGATAAGAACTATCAAGCAAGGGTCCATCTCCTTTGCAGAGCCTAGTCGGGAATAGAGAGCGGTGAACTGTCAAAGTCTGGATCTCAGTTTCTACTGCACACAGAAGCATGGGATAAAAAGCAACATACACTGTGGGAGTTAGGTGACTTAGCCATGAAAATAAATAAAAGGTGAGACTTCTTATGTAAGACTGAGATATAGTTCTAGACTTCTAGTGTAAGAAGGAGACACAGCTAACATCCTGGCTACTGATCCTTGAAACTGCAGTGAACAATTTTGTATCATGGGTGATAAGTAGGAATAATGCAGAAAAGTGGGCAAACAGAAAGGAGTACCCATACCTTTCCAGCCAGGTACAGCATGTGTGTGTCCATATCATAGAAAGGAAACAGCATCCCTGACAGCCCATCTATCTCTTCTTCTATCAGCGGCACTGACAAATCCTCCTGTGGACAGAGGTCACAATATATATTATTTATACATATCTGTAAAGTAAATTTTCATTTCTATTCATTTATTATGGTGCTAATAAATTCAATATTGGTCTTTTATATAACACATTATTTTATTAAAAGGACTAGGGAAGTTGAGTCATATGGCAGGCACCAATTGTTTGCCTTCCTAATTCCGTCTTGTATTAATGTACACTGACACATGTGGTCACTATATAAATAACGGCATCTCTAGTGATCACAATTTAGCTAGCGATGAATGCTGCCATAAGGTAACAGCCCTGTTGCTTAACTGTACAACAGCATTTTTTTATTCAAGTCCTCATGCAGATTGAATAGTTTAGATAGTATTATTGTATATTATAAAGTTTTGGTAAATATAAACTTGATTGTACAAAGATTGTTCGGTCAGATTGCAAGGTGTACGGTGATACCCAACACATCCGTGAAACTGCAACAAAATTCAGTACCCCAAAAAGTCCATAGACGACGCTTTAAAAGCCCCTACAGGTCATAAATTGATAGATATGTATAAATACTGGCCCTAGAATTATTGCCCTCACTCCGGCGTGCGCGGCGACACCCAACATGTGTAGAAAGATCGTTGTTTTCATATGTAGGGGCATCCGACCCGTGTTTACGTGAAGATGCGCAGGGGCGGGAAACTTTAAAAAATTTACATTATTTTTACATTATTTTTACATTTATTTTATTTAATATTAATTTTTTTTACTTTTTTTTACTTTACTTTAATTGCTATCACATAGGGAGGCTTACAAGCCCCCTATGTGATAGCAGATGGTGGTGACAAGTACTCTTTAAGGTGATACTGGGAGTCCAAAAGGCCCCTAGTATCACCTTTACACTTGAAATAAGCTATTGAAGTGCAGATCGCAATTCAATAGCTTAAAGCTGGGCTTCAGGAGCCCT